GGATTCTACAGATTGGCCTGGTGGTCTCCTGGTGTTCTACAAAACATTGTCGGTGGCTGTTCATCTCCTGGCTGACTGACCAATATGGTGGGTGGCCGTTCTGTCAGCACTCGGACTTGCGCAACTGGACTCGGTCTGCAAGCGGCTCTATTGAGGGTCGCGGGCCGGCTGTGGTCCCTGGACTTTGCTGGCTAGATGGAATTGATCTTGTAGAAGCTGATAGATCGGATCGGTGGAATTTGTCCGCATCATTTGTCTGATTGGATTCGCCACCTTGAAATGTACATATCAGCAGACATTAAAGCAGATGGAAATTTGTTATTTGTCTGCTTGACTCTTTTGTTCCCAAAACAACTGATTACAGAATCTGGATCTCCCCGACAATGGCCTTGAGCTTTTGACTAAATTCTTCCTGGCTGGATTACGTCGATAAGGCTCTGCCCCACACCTCCCCACACTCCTCTCTCACCCGTCTAATCTGGTTTTCTGAGCAGGCTGAGGGCCTCACAGAATGAACAGTTCTATTTACATTCTGAACTTTGGCTGCGCTGGTTCTGGGGACTGGATTCTTCGGGCCCCCTAAACTCACTTACTCCTCTGGCTAATAAATCTGCCCTATGCAGAGTTTTTTTCATAAACACCATAGTGGTCACAGTGTTGATATAATAAGACGTTTTTGCTTTTTTCCTCATTTTCCCTTGTGTGTTTTTTTTTTTAGTTTTTCTGTTGTTCTGTTTTTAAGGTGTCGCGCAACTGTGTTTGCTACATGACTGGYCTTAACTGCCCCTCCCCCTTCCCTGAATGTACAGCACCTTGTGGAATTATTTCTGTGAAAGGCGTTATATAAATAAAACTTTACTTACTTACTAATTTAACCTATTTTTAAATATGTTTATTCAATATTATTGCTAAGGATTGAAAATGCTTTAAGAATCATATATAATGCCATATAATTAATGTTTTTCAGTAATTGTATGGCTCATTTTCTCATTTTTTTCTACAGTAACTTTAGTGACAACTAAATGTTTAGAATCCGGTTTTATAAATGTTTCTGTGACATTACAATGATAAAGCGCTAATGAAACTAAATATTTTTGTGTCTGAATTTTCCCTTGAAATGAGACACTGATGTTAGTTGCCTCACACCTTTATTCACAACAACACTACACAGTAAAACCACCTTATGACAGTTGAACTTCCTGGCGGCACACAGAGGACCACAGAGTGTAAATCAAAAACAGCATCCTTCTAAAGGAAATAAGAGATTCATGTTTGAGGTAAGAAGATGCAGAAGGAAGTGCTGCATGAAGCGTGTTGTAGTGGCCTCCTGCCAGATGTTTGTGTTGTTGGTGACACCCTGCACCATCCCTTCAGTCCTAACCAGCTGCTCAGTGATCACAGCCCAGCAGGTCCTTGGACACCCTCTCCTGCAGGGGCAGAATCCTGCCAGCGACAAAGATCATGGTGCTCTGATAGCGATAGAAGTGGTTCCCTACGATCGCGGTGACTCCTGCAGGACCACACATGGCGGCGTCCACCTTCTTCAGGTGGGACAGCGGACGCTGATTGGCTGCAACACGAGGTTTGACCGACAGATCCACGTCATATATGTGTTTTTCTGAGATGGAGGGAGGAAAATATGAGATTACGTCAGTAAGCATACAATGAACTTCCTAAGAAACTTAATTTTAAAAACAACAGATTTAAACATGAGTTTTTTGAAGTTAAAGGGATCCCTGATTAGTTGTAACATATTTTAACTGTAAAATAAAGACTGTAAAAATACTGTGGGATGTTTAGTTTTGTAAATTTTTGAACTAAAAGTTTAAAAATATATTACACGGACAGGGCCATTTTATTTACACACAAAGCATTCTGGGTAAATGATGACGTGGATAGGTCCTCTGTGCGAGGCTGCTAGCGAGGTACATCCACCCTGAAGGTTAATCTTGGACAATATCTGATGATCGACTCTTTTAAATAGGTGTCAACAATAGCCATGTGATGTGAGTATCAGTCACATGGAGGCAGGGCTTAAAAGCCTGAATTTTGCCTGAAACTCTCAGACTGAAGA